TGTGTGTGTGCTTTTTATGGTAAGGAAACTGAGGCAAAGAAAGGTTTTTATGGGTAATATTCCAAAATAAGTGGCTAAAACACACATCTCGTTTCCTCACCCTTTCTTTATTGAGAACCATCTATTAGTATAGCTTCTATCACTACAATAAAGCACAGACAACTTGGTCAGCAGGAGAGGAGGAATCGGTGTTCTCCAGGGATGAACCTCTGATAGGTTATTCAATCCCAGTGACCAAATCCACAAATAGTAGAAAAAGGTCATGAATTTGAGAGGGAATAGAGGAGGTACATGGGAAGAGTTGGAGAGAGGAAAAGAGAAATTATGTAAAGATTGTAGTCACATAGGAAATTCTCAAAAACAAACAACCTGTAACTCCAAGAGCACCATACAGCCATAATCCTATTCAACCTGCATATCTGATTATTTAAATATTCCAATATCCCTCTTCTCCTGCCTCTGGTAACCATCTATTTATATATATATATATATATTCAAGTTATCTAGGCTTTTACATTTTACATGTAAAGAGAACATGCAGGGTTTTTAATCTCTGTGTCTGACCTTCAGTTTCATTCATGTTATTACAAATAGCATCTTAAATAACCAGAATAACACGTCACTCTGGCTGTTGTGTATATGGTGTGTGTGTGTGTGTGTGTGTGTGTGTGTGTGTGTGCATGTGCACATACAATTTCTCTATCCAGTGGTGTAGATTTAGATTGTTTGTATTTCCAGGCTATTGAGAATAGTACTTCAGTAAATAGTACAATTGTCTGTGCAAAGGACTGATTTTACATCTTTTGGAAACATTTTTAGAAGAGAGACTTCTGGGTAGACATTCTATGAATGAATACCAGCCTCTCTGATTACAAAATATTGGCTGTTCTTTCCCATTTTCATCCTATCGGAATCGGGTAATTTTAAAGCATGTAAAAAAGAAAAATCTTTGACAGTGTTCCTATGAAAAAGTAAAATCTAATTCTACTTTTCTTGAATCAGGGCCAGTCTTAGAGACATGTTCCTGTCAATGGGTGCATATGAAGTGTGACTTTCAGGGCTGATGTAGAATGGAAGTGCAGAATTTGGCTAACTCACGAAATGCCCCAGGAATCTTGCCACTGCATTTAGAGATGGCTCAAATCACATGAAGAAGCCACATATGGATGTTCTGATTGACAGCTGTAGATAATCCCCTCCCATCACAGCTTTAGACATGAATGATTGCCAGGAGCCATCCCCGGCTGTGGATGGATCCTACAGAGGGTGTAAGGAGTCAGTGGGGGAAGGAAGTGAGCCAGGCCATGGTGGTCGGGAAAATCTTACAGCCTGACTGACTAGCAGCCAGAGTGTTTCTTTATTTATACAGAATTTGGTAGGCAGGGATACATTCATTGTGGCGATATTTTAATTGTGCTGAAATGTGATTTTATTTGTATGTTAATAAATAAAGTTTCCCTGGAGACCAGACGTCATTAGCAGAGAGCCAGGAATAAAAGTCAGGTGGTGGTAGCCCACACCCTTAATCCAGTCACATGGCAGGCAGAGTCTCTGTGTGATCAAGGACACAGCCAAGCGTGGTGACCCTTGAGTTTTTCATTCCAGTACCAGCATAGAGACCAGGAGGTCTGTATAGACAGGCATTGATGAGGACATCATGTGGCTGGGCTTAGAGCCAATGAGAAGGCAGAACAGGAAAGCAATAAAACACAAAACACACAGGAAGAAGGTCTCTGTCTCGGGGGAAGGACAACAGTGAGTGGTAAGCTAAAGGGAGTCATGGCTCTTGCTCTGAACTCTTAGGCATTAGCTCTGTATTTGGCTCTGTGTTTCCTATTTAATAAGGCCGTTTAGAATTTTGTCTACAATTCATGATGTTCCAAAACATAGATCATATCATTTTTGGTTTTGGACATGTGTTTCATTTATTTTTGCTCATCTTCTAGTCATCATTAATAAACTATGATAGAACAGAGTTATCATTTCCAATCATTTTCCCTCAAGTTTTGACATCATTAATAAAGTTATCATTCTTACTTATTAATCCCATAACCCAATTTTTGAGAATCTAGAATCAGCAAGCTCAAAAACTATTTATACTCCCTTCCAATGGGGGAAAAAATCACTATCTTAGATAGTAAGGGATTTATGATGTTCAATAGATTGTGTGAAATTAGGAATACAGAAGAGTAAAAAGCACCTTGACTGCTTAATGTAAAACCAAAATGCAAAAATGTGTTTGCCTTTTATTTCCAGAACCAAATGTGCACTTTAATGAAAATCAAAGTTTAATTTCACATGCCTCTGATTTTTTTTTAAAGTAAAGTCATTTTCATTTAAGGAAGAGTTCAGCCAGTTTTATAATAAACAGTCTTAATAATGCAACAACCCCATATACATGGAAAATATTATGGTTAGGCTACCATAACTTTTCCCTCCAAGGGAGAAAATTAAAAGTGAAAACATGACTCTTTTAAAAGTTCTAACTTATAATTCTTAAAAATCAGCAAAAATGGAAAAAATTATACAAAATATCTGTGCTTAAGAACGTGTCTTCTTAGCCATTAGCGTTTCCTTTTAGCAAGCCTTTGCTCATTTATAGTTCGATGGCCTCTCGTTTTGTTTCAGAAACTGACAAAATCTCATTTCAGTATTTGCCTTCAGAAAGCACTGGACTACTTTTAGACCCAATTGAGAAATTTATACCAAATTGCAAACAAGACCACCAGAGAGCAGCTTGGGTACTCCACTTCTTTGAAATTTCCTCAGCAGGATAACACTCTTGGCAATCCTGACAACAAACGGACATTGGCATGGATATACAATCAAAATTTAAAAAAAAAATTCAGGTTACTGTTCATCTGAGAATGTGTATAGGAAAAGGCTTGGTCTATGTGTGGGCAAGGAAATAGAGTGACAATAATAGGCTGTGTTGTGGATTCACTGTTTTTCCAAAGTGACATGTTAATGTTCACATTCCCACAATGAGAATGTAACTGCAGGAAGATCCTTTATGGGAGCAATCAAAGAAAAAATGCTATCATTAATGCCTTCACCTCATAAGAATGGTTGGCCTGATGAAAGGCAACTCGGGACACAGATTGACCTGCAATAGGGAGATCTGCAGGAAAAGACAGGTAGGCGTTCTATGTGACCATGAAGACAGAGGTTGGGTGGTGTATTTATAAACCAGTAAAACTGAGGTCTGCAGTATCCACCAAAACCTGAGAGACAGGTAAGTGCTGATTCTCCTCTACAGCCGTCAAAGAGAATTAATCCTGTAAAGCTTGTTTTGAACTTAAGGACTTTAGAGATGAGAAAACAGTTTTTGGCTAAGCTGCTCAATTTGTGGTACTTTGTTAGAATAAACCAGGAAATTAATACAGACTGAATACATTTACTTCAAACCTTCTGATTACTCTTACTTGCTTTCATCAAATTCCAAGAAATGGAAAATTCCATGAAGTACTGCTGTGGGACGGTCTGTATGTCAAATTGCTCTGATTGGTCAATAAATAAAACACTGATTGGCCAGTGGCTAGGCAGGAAGTAGGTGGGACAAGGAGAGAGGAGAATTGTGGGAAGCAGAAGGCTGAGGCGGAGAGACACTGCAGCCGCCGCCATGACCAGCAGCATGTGAAGACGCCGGTAAGCCACCAGCCACGTGGCAAGGTATAGATTTATGGAAATGGATTAATTTAAGCTATAAGAACAGTTAGCAAGAAGCCTGCCACGGCCATACAGTTTGTAAGCAATATAAGTCTCTGTGTTTACTTGGTTGGGTCTGAGCGGCTGTGGGACTGGTGGGTGACAGAGATTTGTCCTAACTGTGGGCAAGGCAGGAAAACTCCAGCTACAAAGTACTTCTGCTTGCCAATATTTTCTATACAAATTACAACAAAAGCATGGGTATGCCGGTATCATAGTTGCTGTGACTCATGTATCAACATTCTTTTTTTCTTTTTTTGGTTTTTTCGAGACAGGGTTTCTCTCTGTGTAGCTTTGCGCCTTTCCTGGATCTCGCTCTCTAGAGCAGGCTGGCCTCGAACTCACAAAGTTCTGCCTGGGTCTGTCTCCTGAGTGCTAGGATTAAAGGCGTGTGCCACCACCGCCCGGCTCAACATTCTTTAAAACAGTTCTTCATATGCCCTTTTTATTGTTTTTGAACATTTCTTTTTGAGGACTTGGGGAAGAGTTTGCATAATAGACATAGGACATTTGAGATGGATTTTAACACATATATAGAAACATCAATATTTATACACACATATACATAGTCTAGTATCTTAGCTAATTAAATATAAACTTACCTAATATTGTAAACCAACGCACTTATTGGTCAAATAATAAATATTACTTCGTAGGCTGAATAAATAAGACTGCACGGTTTTTTAGATTAAATATTAGCAGTTTTGTGTAATGCACTCTTATACACAAGTAAATGATACATTAAATGAGACAATGTGAGAAATAAGCCGTAGACAGTTCATACGGTATGAAAACTGGACATATGGTCCTTCTCTTACACTTGTCTTATTAATATACAGTAATAGTTGCTCATGAGTATCACTTAGTATTTGCTGGTGACAGACAGTACTAAGTTTCCAGCTGCTAACACAGAATGAACTTGGTAGACTCACTTACAAAAACAAAGCCATTTGGCTATAACGACTAAATAACAGATATAAAATCCTCAGTGCAGCCCCTGAATCAACGCGTCCAGAGAATCCGAGGTGTTGCCCGAGTCACCCAGCGTTTCTGTTCTTCCTCCTGCCCAACATTAGGAGAACAGCTCCCTCCAAACTAGCGACCAAGCCCCTGATCGCCAGAACTCTCACTCCTGCCTCCGCGGCGATCCCGGGGGCCGGAAGCGGCTTCCCGCTCCCTTATTGGCCCGTTTCAGGACAAATCAATCAAGTCCGCTCATCGGTAAATCCCGCCCCCGCCGGTCGCGCACACACACACACCTACGACCCGGGAGTTCAACCGAACCCGACTGCGCAAAGCCTGCTAACGCGCCTGCGCGGGCGGGCGTGCCCCGGAAGCAGTCCTTTGGCCGGTGACACGTAGCAACAGGGCTCCTGCAGGGTCTGGAACTGAGTTTGGGGGGTTACTGGGGGCCGCTGGAGCTGCAGACGCCGGCGGCGGAGCGTTGGGTGAGTGTTCCCGGCCCGTGTACCCCTGTCGGCTCCTGGCAGCAGTGGGTGCGAGCCGGCTGCGTGGTCTGTGGGCGCGGGCTGTGCTCTTTCCCTCGGATCCCCCCCGACTCCCTCCCAAGACCCCGTGCTGCGGCCGCCGCTGTTTTACCGCTCGGTGGGTGAAGCGGCGCCTCGGCAGGACCTCACCCCTACCTCAGGCCCGTCAGCTCCGCAGTGTCCAAAGGGTCTTCTGGGGCCGCAGCTCTCCCCGCCCCCACCCCCACCCCCACCCCATCCCCACCCCCACATGCTGATCGCGGTTACAGAAACGCTTTCTGTCTGTCTCCTCCAGCCGAGGACCACAGACAAATGAAGCAGGACCTAAGGGTGTAAACAGTGTTCGCCGTCCCTCTTCTGTTGCAGGTCGTTGGCCATGTCAGGCTTTGATAACTTAAACAGCGGTTTCTACCAAACAAGTTACAGCATCGACGAGCAATCTCAGCAGTCCTATGACTATGGAGGAAGTGGAGGACCCTACAGCAAGTAACTTTTCAGCTTTGGCAACTTACTTAGTCGATAATTAACGGACAAACGTATTCAGAATGCCCGGTTCTGCCTTAAAAAATGAATATGTGAACTTGTTCCTATTCGGGAATGTGATTTGATGTCCTTTTTTTGTTTTGTTTTGTTGTGACATTTGGTTAGAGTTTGAAGGGGTTACCCTGTTTATAATTTGTTATTTTCTTAAAAAACAAAAAAAAAAAAACTTCTAGTGTGCCAAAGAAGATAAGTAGCTTGTTGAAATAATATTTACAAACGGTCTGGGTGGGTGCTTCAGGTGCCTAGAATATAAGACTGTTTAGTCACTGAAATTTAAAGTTTTGTGGGGTTGTTTTTTTTTTTGTTTTTTTTTTTTGATAGCTTGTTTGGTAGGTGAGCCAGTGTGACTTTCAAACTCTATCCACAGCTATATAAAGAGCTCAGTGACACAGGTTAACAGTGTAAGCTCCCCACTGAGTCACTGGGTGACTGATGTGGCAGTTGATAATCATTTTTATTACTGCTCATACTGGGGTATTATAGTTAGTACCAGAGAAGTTATCAGTTTCTGATCATACTGGGGTATTATAGTTAGTACCAGAGAAGTTATCAGTTTATGATTGAAGAAGAGAATTCAGAGACTTTAGGTTCTGAACTGTTAACAGTAAGGTCATCTCTAATACCTGGTGTTTGGGGACTTGGAAGGTTTTCAGCTAGTCTCTTCTAGACATGTCCTTAGTCCCTTGGAATGATGAGATTAAATCTTCCTGGTCTCTCTCGAAGGAGTTTCTTGTGCTTACGCCTTTTCAAATGGTCTTGTATTTTTCTGAGAATCTTACAGCAACAATGGGTCTGTTTTCCAGAAATGCATGACTCATATATACCCATATAAATGTGCATATAAATTCATACAGTGTATGTGTCAGCTGTGTACATCTGTAGATCTTGAATTCAAATTTCTTGAAGTGTTCTGGGATGAGAGCAAAGGAAAGCTATTAATCCACTCAATCCATGAGATATAAGCACTGTTAGAATGTGTTTATATCAGTATGTGTAAATAAATGTGCCAAAACTTTTTTAAGCACAAAGAAAATTGTGGCTATCTTTTTTATAACCCAAAGATTATTTTAATCTACGTAATTTGGGGCATAGAGAGGTAGATACTATGTGTGTATGCACTTTCCTGCTTACTAACCTGTTGAATGAAACTACCCTTTATGAATTAGGATTTTTCTTTCTGTTACATTCTCAACTATATGCCAGTTATTTCTTCCAAATCAGTTAATTGGGCAGAATTTTAGAAAAATCATACAGAGAGATTTTCATTCATTTAACACAATACGTATTTTAGTGAGAACTTTGTGTGCTTGAGAGCAAATGAATGAAGTTTGATTAACGTCCACCTGGAAAATCCTACAACAGAACTTTGAAGAGCCTGCCACTGTATGTCAGCCTTTTTTTGACCAAATAATCTTTCATCTTTAGACTGATTAGAAGTTTTCCGTTTAGAGTGCAATTTCCCAGGTTAGTCTCTTTCCGCTTTTGTATCCTGACCGTGTTTTTGAAACTTCGGTCTGTGACTTGTCCTCTCGTTACACTCAGCAATGAGCTGACACACAGCAGTTATGTAGATACCTGTTGTTGGGTATTCTGCTTCCATTCGAACCAACTCTGATGTCAGTAAGCATTGCTTCATCCTAGTGGAGATATTTTACCTAACCATAGCTATCAGCTAGCACATTTAGGTTTATGAATTATGCATGAAAAAACAAAAGGTATGCTACAGAAGCAACAATACATGTGAGTTTCCAATGCCTTATTGAAAAATAGATTCATTTGCTTCTATATGTGCCTGCAAATAGATCTGCCACCTAATCTATTTGCTTTGCTAACTTGTTAACAGAAATCAGTGATAACTTTAGTTGTTAGGGAAAATCTAGGTTCAGATAGCATACTATCTGGATTGCCTTAAAGTTTGGCTTACTAGTCTTGCTGTAGTCCTACAGTTGCCCTGTGAGGGCAACTTTGACATTTTATGGGTTCCTCTTGTATTTCACCATGTCATATGGGTATCCCATATAGTTTTCTAGATATGCCCCTAAAATATGTAGTAATACCAGTCACTTATTTTTCAGAGACTGAGACCTGTTGTATTTTTACCTTTAACTTCTCTGATAATATCTTTATGAAACATTTTTATGAACATAAGTAGACAACCTGTCTTAAGAGGTTTTATCTTTGCTGTTGATACACAGAGCTTATGACAGTGTTGATTTAGCATATGCTACTTTGCTTGCTGTAAAAGCATTGCTGTAAAAATCAGGAATGCCATAACACAGTTTGGTTTGCAATCACTGTCGAGTGACTCCCATTTTTCAGAACAGGTACTGGCAGGACAGGGAAGTAGTAAATGCCACAATGTTGTCTCTTTCACACTGCATTTGGAAGATGGGATGACAGGCCCACCTTTGGAGTGGTGTTGCTTGCAGTACCTCTAGATTGTAATCAGTGGTACTCACTGTGAGCTCCAGACTTTACAGGAGTCTTAGGATCTGTTTAGAGATCTTCTAAATTCATACATAGTTTTCATAACAATATTAAAGCATTTTCTGCCTTTCAAATAGATTCATAGTTGCACTTATGTTGCAAAGATAAGTTTGTAAAAGTTTGTAACACTGCTGGTACCTGAATCCGAATCAAGGAACTGGTGTTGTATTTGTTATCACCATCTACTTGGGAGGTGGAGTAAAGCAGTTTCATTTGATTCCCCCAATGAAGCAAGAAGAGTCATGATTGTTGTTCAGTCCTGACCCTTTAGTACACATCTCTTTAGTATTCTGTCACACAACACTCCTTTTCCATACTGAAATTACACCATCTCTAGGAAGATACACAGGCTGCTTAATTTACCCACAGAGCCACTTGCTTTTTGTGGAGACCATATTTATTTGAAATAATGGACACACTGTTTATTCAGAATTCAATATTTCACAGATAATTTTTCAAAAATTAGTAAGTGAACCTGTCATTTCAAGGAAAACAGCTGCTAGTACTTGTCACCAGTGGTCAGTCTCAGGATTTCAGACAAAATGAGGATTTTTGGAAAACTTGTGTTCATCATCAATAGTTTCCTAGCAATTGAACATTTTTTCCCCGATGAAATTGGGGACAATTTTAACAAATGTGATTTTCTAGTCTTTAGAATTGAATGTATATCAATATTTGAAAGATATATATAAAACTAATGTTTTTAAGTAGCCAGTAATGTTACACAATTATATGAGAAATGCTACGCATTCAAAGTGCAAGACAGATCATTGTATTTTAATGTAGCTAGGGCATAAAAAGTTCATTGGTGCTGTTTCAAGTTCTGTGTTGCAAATTGAATTTTCAAAACTGCTGTTTTGTTTTGAGTTTAAATGGAGCATAAAAAATATTTATGGCCAGGAGTGTCGGTGCACACCTGTAGTCTCAGTACTCAAGAGGCAGGTGGGTCTCTGAGTTTGAAGCCAACCTAAGTCCAGATCAGCCAGAGCTATTTTATTCTAAAGTGTAATGTATTTAATGTTACTTTAAATGAATTAATTATTATTATTATTATTTATTCTTTTTAAGATAGGGTTTCTGTGTAGCAGTCCTGGCTGTCTTGGAACTCGCTTTGTAGGCCTCAAATACACAAAGATTCCTCCTGAATCTTCCTCTCAAAGGCATGAGCCACCACCTGGCTGAATTAATAAATATTTTAAACATCTAATTTCCTTGATAGTAAATATTGATAGTTAATAACTCCTAAAATACTTTTGATTTCCAGTAGATTTTAAGGCTATAAAGGAGCTCCATGACTAAAGTATTTTAAAACTGCTAACTATACTATTCTCTCTGATTTTCTTTTGTGTTCCTTCTTCCCTCCCACTCCCTGCTGTCTCCCAAGAATAAACTAGAGTCTAGTTAATCAGCTTGTAGAAACCTTTGTATGGAGATTTTCTTGTGAGTCATGAACTCTGAAATGCTAACAGATAACACAACAGCATGTTAGACTAAATCAGGAAAAGAATTATTATCCTTGCTCAACTAGCTAATCCTGATAGAGGTTGTTCTTGTGTGAGTGGGTGTGCACATAAGAAATCAGCATGTTATTCCAGAAAAGCTGGGAAACTGCAGATATAAAATGTATTTTGAAGTAATGTGAGTAAAGAAGGATTTTGAAGAGGTGTTTATTACTTATTAAGAGTTGATGACTTCTGGAGTTAAATAACCTGGTTTTGAATCCTCTCACCACAGTGGCAAACTATTTTAATCCAAATTTCAGTTTATATATCTTCATAGTGAGGACAATAGTAGGCTCATTTCATAGGGTTATAGTTAATATGAGACAATTTACATTAAACACTTACAAAATTATACATTACATTAAACACTTATAAAAAAGCCAATTGTTTTTTAAATTTTACTATTTTTGTTCTTTGAAAGTTTTGTTACATTTATAAAGTGTGTGTTGATCATATCTATTCACCACCACCTTTCTCCAGCTCCTTGTGCCTTCTAGTCATCCCTCCCAGCTTCATGTCCTCTTTTTTTATGGTTATTAATAACATCCTGAGTCTAATTAGTTCTGCCTTATGCACATGGGTTTGTGGCCATCTACTGGGTCATGAGCAGTTTACCTGGTGGCTGTGTCCTGGAAAAAAAAAAACTATTCCCTCAGCAGCTACCAGCTGCCAGTAGCTTTCCTATAAGGGCAGGGCCTTAGGGGCCCCTCCCCAGCCATGGTACCATCTGTGATGGCCTTGATCTTGTGCAGACTTGTTCAGGTAACCACAGGACTGTCGGCTTGTTTTGCAACAGCCAGGTCACATCCAGAAGTCAACTTTTCACAGCTTTCCTCTCATTTTCTGGCTCTTACATTTTTTTCTCTCCCTACTTCTGTGAAGTTCTCTGAGCCTTGAGTGTTAGGAGATTGATAAAGGTGGCCCGTCCACAGTTGAGAGCTCAGTGTTATTTATACTTGGCACTTTGACTAGTCCTGAGCCTCTGCATTAACCACTTCTGACTGCAAAAGGGAGGATTCTCTGACCAAAACTTAGAGCAGCACCAATCAATGGGTATAAGCATAAATATTCAGAATGTAGTGTAGTAGTGTGGCCATTTAGGAAAAGAACAGCAGTAGGTTCCTCCTACAGCCTGTGATCTCCCCAGCCATAGCCTTTTGATCAAGTTTATGGTACCAGACATGAAATCTGTTCTGTGGAGCAGGCCACACATCCAATCAGAAAGTAGTTAGTTATTTCCATAACCAGTATGTCATTACTACACAGTGGGCACAGCTTGCCAGCAGGTCAGTATTATATCACCAGCTAATTTCAATCAATAATAACTGTTGTCCGACATATTTAAAGGTACAGAGTCTATATGAAAATCCAGTACTCTACATCTCCCTAGTAGCAGGTTTCTTGACTTAGCAGCAGCTATAGTTAGAGGTTCTTGTGTGTACTCTGGAGATAGTCTAAGTTCTAAAAGTGCATTTGTTTTCTATAAAGTACATAATATATAGTATCTTTAATATTACTTTTTTCCCTACTATTTCTTGATTGTTATTTATCAGTATACATAAAATTACTTCATTCTTTTTAACAGGTGCGGAGTAACTTCTTATGCACGTGTTACATTATGTTCACTTACAGCTATTTTTCTGCCTTTTGCTATTGCAATAGTACAGCAACAAATGCCACGAGTGGCAAAACTGCATATTTTGCAAGCATACTTTGTATGTAGTATTAGAATCTCTAAAAATGACTTTGGATAGCTGAACATTTACCATTGTCTTTTTTTTAAATTTAAGATAATTTTAAAAATTTTAAATTAGTTTTTTTATATCTTAATATTAATGGCTATCATTACATTTTTGCCTTTTTCAAACAAACCAGAACTAATCAAAAATAAGTAGGCCAAATATTTTTAGGGCTTTCGTTTTAAAATAATTACTTTAATTTTGTACAGTATATAATAGGTTAGTCCACTGAAACACTAGACTTATGATGAAACAGGTACTTACAGACAGGGCTTTAGTGCAGTCCTGTTCCCTCTTAGTCACTAAAATGCCAGGGTAAAGTGTTCTTCCTGAAGACTAGGGATTTGGTGTAGATTCAGTAAGGCAGTAAGTGTACAGTCTCTTTGAAAATTTTAAAGCACAATTCAAACACAAGATGGCCTCAGAACATTTTGTTATATTCAGAAAGCTTTCACAAAGAACATGCTTGATTCCCTCCTGCCCTCCAGTTTGAAACTGATGTTTTTTAATCAGGTCTTCTCATTTGCAGACTCCTCCATACTATGAAGTGTAAGACAGAATAATGATTCCATAGGTATCCAAGTTATGGAAAATAGAGTCATGTCTATCATCCTAAACCTTCATTTATCATCTGCAGCATACATTTCTTTCAGAATATATTGTAACATTCTTTCTGTCACTAGGGGAAGAAAGTAATCCTGACCTAAGTCTTTATTTGTTGGCATCCTGAGGTTTAAAAGGGTGCTAGCTTGTCTGCTTGTTTGCTGACAGCCAAAGGAGGCTTCTCTATTAGAGATCCTTCTCCTTAGCTTGTCAGCCTGTCGGTCCTGCTTTCAGCACTGTTTCTTCGTGATATCCTAGAAAGAGGTTTGCAAATGACTGAGCATTCTTTAGCTGTCAAGAAAAAAAATCTAGGAATATTAACTGTCAATTGGTTAAAATACTGAGAGTTAAACTTCCAAATTTCCTTTGATGTACAGGCAGTATGCTGGCTATGACTACTCGCAGCAAGGTCGATTTGTCCCTCCAGACATGATGCAGGCACAGCAGACATACACTGGGCAGATTTACCAGCCAACTCAGGCCTATCCTTCAACTGCACCTCAGACGTACTATGGAGACAGCTTTGAGGAGGAGCCTCCTTTGTTAGAAGGTAGGATGGAACGGTACAGGTTGAAGACCCTGTCTGAGAAGCGTGAGGCCAGAAATATTTTCCATTTTAAAGTAGTTTGAATTTTCCAGGCTCTCTGTAAACGTCACTGGTTTGGCATCTGTAATTGGAAAGTCTGAAATGACCCCCTCCCTTTGTTTTCCCTGGACAGGACTTTGCTGAGAAACCCAGGCGGCCTCAGACTTGCAGCAGTCCTCTTACCGCAGCCTCCCAAATGCTAGGATTGCAGGCGGACGCTATCATGCTTAGCTTAAAACACCGCGAATATTATACTGGTGTTCAGAGCTTTCCATTTCAGAGCATTTCAGATTTGGGGTTTTGAGACTAGAGCTGTAAAGCATCTGCTCTGGTCTTCAGCTGGTTAGTGAGCAAAGCCTAAATTGGAGATGTTGTCCTTTCTTTTTTTTAAGAAATTTTTTTTCATTCATTTTATATACCAATCAAAGATCCCCTTTTTCCCTCCTCCCACCCCTCCAGCCTTCCCCCCAACCTTCCCCCACCCCGCTCCCTCCACAAGAAGGCAAGGGCTCCCATGGGGAGGCACATCCAGTAGAGGCAAGTCTAAGCCCTTTCCCCTGCCTCAAGGCTGCACAAGTTGTCCCATCATAGGTAGTAGGCTCCACAAAGCCCCCTTATGCACCAGGGATGGATTCTGATTCTACTGCCAGGGGGCCCCCCAAGCAGATCAAGCTACACAATGGTCTCGCCATGCAGAGAAAGTTGGATCAATGGCTGTGTAGCCTGCATGGGATGTTGTCCTTTCTTATGAAAAAACAGTAGATAGCCTTATTTAGAAGAGAGTTTATATTGGGCCAGAATGGACCATGAAGAACTAATATTTAATATGACAGTGTGAGCATTGGCTTTTATGTCAGATTATTAATTATATTCTGCCCATGGATGAAAGCACTTAGCATGGTATTTATAGTTCTACGTGGAAATAAACTAACAGAACTGTTGATTGCATAAGAACATGGTGGTTCTCAAATTACATTATAGAAATCTGAACACAGATGCCTAGAGCCATAATTGTCTGTAATCTCATGGGGTACCTGGGTATTCCTGAAGCCCCAAGTGAGGAGTCCCTTTGGTTAGCCATGTCCACATGTTCTTGTACTGTATGAGGTAGAGTGTGTCTATTTTACTGTGCCTCTGTCCTTTGTAAAGCAGAAGGTAGGCATCAGTAGACTCCGTAGCATGGAGAATGGTCCAGAGGAGAGTAAAGTGTCATTGACAATCGCTGCACCCTCTTCGTTCCTGTGTATTTAGTTTTGTGCCCTGTTCCACACTGATTCTAGAAACATCACAAATCTTAAAGTTGGTAATGAGCGTGTCCAGTGCTGCCAGGTGGTGGTGGCGCACACCTTTAATCCAAGTACTTGGGAAGCAGAGACTACTGGCGGATCTCTGTGAGTTCCAGGATAGCCAGGACTGTTACACAGAGAAACCTGCTGTCTCAAAACCAAAAAAAAAAAAAAAAAAGACGAGTGTCCCGTGCTTGAAGACTATTGAAATGGAAGGAGTAGCTATTTGTCCTGGTTCTATGGAGTAATGAGCTTTCAAATGTAAAATGTTTAAGGGAATTTATATAACTGCTAATGGCATATCACAAATTCCAACTGACTTCCTTGTTTTCTTTTTATCGTAGAGTTGGGTATCAATTTTGATCACATCTGGCAAAAAACACTGACAGTGCTGCACCCCCTGAGAGTGGCCGACGGCAGCATTATGAATGAGACCGACCTGGCAGGGCCCGTGGTGTTCTGCCTCGCCTTTGGAGCCACGCTGTTACTGGTAAGACTAAAGAATGTTCAGTATTCTGCCAGAAGACATTTGGAGCCTCAAGTCTGATAGGTTGTAGGATGTATTGAGTTTCTTGAATTTATACCCATTCCTTTCCTTATTTCTGTGTGTAGGAAGTATTTGGCAACATATGTAGAGACTTATTTTTTAAGCAAAGTGTAGGAGACAGAGCACAACTGTAACCAGAGCCCTGCGAGACTGAACCAGGAAGATTGTGAATTCTAGGCCAGCCTGGGTTTTATATTGAGATACTGTTTGAAAGAAAGAAAAAATATATATATATATATTGTAAGAAGTAGTCCAATTATTAGGGGAAAATAATAAAAAAGTAAACATCAGAATTTCTTATTTTTAGGAAATTGACAATTTTTTTTTACTGTGTTGTACTTTTAAAAGCAAATAGAGATAGTGGTTTTATTTATTTAATCTTGTCTTAGTTTGGTTTATGCTGTGTGATAAAATACCCAGAGGCCTTAGGGCTGGGGGACCCTAAAGGAGAAGTGGTTATTTTCCCTCACTTCCTAGTTACAGTCCATCCATCACTGCCTGGATGTCAAAATGTCAGGAGCTTCAGATAATCTATTGCATTCACAGCCAAGAGTAGACAGAAATAGATACATTCATGCCCACTGCTCAGCTCACCTTTTCTATAGTCCAGAACACAAACCCATGGACTGGTGTCAACCTCCGTTAAGCATGGTCTTCTCCCCACATCAGCGTATTCAAGGCAGTCCCCCACAGACATGGTCACAGCTAACCTAATCTAGACAGCAGCTCATTGAGACTCCCTTCCCAGAGGAAGGGAGTCTAGACTGTCAGATTTAAAATTAACCATCGCAGATGTCTAGCCCTTGGTCAGTGTTTTATTGTATGGCTTTTCTGTACATTTTAATTTCTAATGAGTTAAAATATTAAAGAATGGCAAGTTTTTTATTCTACCTCCCAGTTCTCCAGGAATATTAAAGTATATTGAAAGAAAAAGTTGCTATTTGTTTTAACTCAATCTGAATTACAAGAGATAAATAATGTAATTGATAGAAAATGGGATCTGTAGCCAGAAGACCTGGGTTTGTACACAACACTCCACTTGGCCTTTGACCTGGCAGTTTAATCCTTCACATCCTGCTGGTGGATAATAACCCTGTACTGCCCACTAGCCTAACAGGGTTGTTTTGATGTGCCACCACAGCCAGCTTGTTCTGAAGAAAAAAATCAGACAGGCAGCTGAGCATAGAGTCTTGTACCTATAATATCAACATTTGGGATTTAGTCTGCTATAACAATAAATAGTAAATTCCACTTTGTACCGTGCTCTTAGCTTTGCAAAGTATTGTTGCATAGCCTGTCCCGGTTTGCTTTTCTTTTGTCTTGAGACAGGGTCTCACTCTAACCTAGAGAAAGCTTCCTGCCTCAGCCTCCCAAATATTGAAACAAAAGTTTCACAAAGCAAAGCTCCTCTTTTGGGATTTCTCTGCATGCTTGTTTTCAAGAGAGTGTTTTTTCATGTGGGAAGGTTGTAATTTAGCTCATGACTGCTGTCTGAAAACCATTCAATAATCTTTATCTTAGACAAGGTCTCACTGTCTACCTGGTCTGCAACTCACTATATAGATCATGTTAGTCTTGAACTCAGAGATCTGCCTGTCTCTGCCTCCTGAGTCTGGGGTAAAAGATTTTTGCCACCATGCCTAGCTGATGTCTTTTATAAGAGCAGAACTTCCAAGGTGTATGCTTTTGTTTTCAATCAAAGGACTGTAGAATCCAACATGGATTTGGAAAAAGAATGAAAAGAAAAAAGTTCCTTTCCATCGCGCTCATCTGGTTTTCTCACCTCTTGCTTGGTCCCTGGCTTCCCACTTTTCCTAGATTGTTCCTTCCTTTGTTCAGTTGTATGTCAAGCTTAAATGCTACCAAGAAATAGAAAGAAACACTTGTGTTGGGAAATGTGGGGTCAAAGTTAAGCGTTTGAAGTCAGGGCCTGCACAGAATCAAGTCAGATAGGGTCCCAGCACTAAGGGAGAAGTAGATATGGATGTCTTTTCCTGACCAAGAAGCTGCCTGCGATTGACATGCAATTGAAAAGGGTCTCACTGGGTATATTAACCACATTTCTGGGCAGGCCCCATGTCCACGAGTAGAAGGCTAACACGAAAGGAATTCAGTGATATTTTTGTAGAATTTGTCTCATACAACTTTGCTTGGGCATTGTTTGGTTTGGTTTTATTTTCTTATTGGTCTTTTATTTGAATATTTTGGTTTCCAAGTTTGTGGTTTTGTGGGTTTATTTGTATGTATATGTTGTATATATTTGTTTGTTTTAAAGAGATAAAGAAAGGGTATGGAGTAGTGTGGGGAGGGTCTTGGAGGATTGGGAGAGAGAAAAAATGTGATCAAAATATATTCTATGAAAACTTTAAAAGAGTGTGGAACCTGTCTGCTTTATTCCTTTCCAGTATACCTCTATAGATTTTGATGCTTGTGAATTGAGTATTTTATACATGTGTCATTTAATGTGAAATGAGGCCCAACTGACACTTTTTATTCTAACCTATAATTTCTTTTCTTTTCCCATAGGCTGGCAAAATCCAGTTTGGCTATGTATATGGGATCAGTGCAATTGGATGTTTAGGAATGTTTTGTTTGTTAAATTTAATGAGTATGACAGGTGTCTCATTTGGTTGTGTGGCAAGTGTCCTGGGGTATTGTCTTCTTCCCATGATCCTGCTGTCCAGCTTTGCAGTGGTATTTTCTTTACAGTAAGTACTGATCTTAAACTCAGATTTAGTTGGCCAGTTCTGTGTAGTAGGATTTACTTCACTTTCAGTTTGAGATAAAGCCCTGGTCCAGCAAACGTATCTATTGTGCCTCATCTAGATTTGAACTCTGCTATGTGTGTTTTGGGTGATGAACAATGAAAGTGAAAATGAGATTTGAAGTCTTCTATATGATCTTAGTTTTTACCTTTGATCAAGAGTTTTACTAGTGTTGTGTTTACCAATGCCATAGCAATAATGAATTGAATAGTTGTGATCATTAAATAACACATGGAAAAGTTCAGTTCACTCATGATAAAATTATGTTTAGCCTCCTTGAAATTCTGGTTATATCATTCTTGAAGCAGTTGGGCTTCTTGAAACATGATTAGTAACCACATATGTAGTAGTAGGGCAAGGGAGTGCTGATACTATGAGTGGAGAGAGACGCTGAAAGGTATTGAGCATCCTAACCATCCTAAGCACTGACCTTTCAGCAAAGGGAGCCAGCCCAAGTACCAAAGCAGGGAAGCAGCTTCAAGAGCAGGATAATCATACTGTCTATATTACATGGTTGAGCATTCTTAAAGTCACTATGCAAGTACATTTCTGAGTTTGACAAAATAGACTTGTTTCTGCATATGTCTATATGTGGATTTAGAAATGTCCTGAGGCTGATCTATTGCTGTCCAGATGTGCTAACCCTGCAGTTTCCACACATAATCCGTGGTAGTGTGGGACTGTGCTTGTGTTCTCTTCTGCAAAACAATGCATTAAAGATCCCTCCTTTGGAATAGGGTAGAACTGTGGTTTGGTTTGGTTTTCAGTATCCTATCTTACTCATCTTTCCCATGTTTTGTTTTGTTTTTTGTTTTTTCTGCTGCAGAGGAATGGTAGGAATTCTTCTCACTGCGACGATCATTGGCTGGTGTAGCTTTTCGGCTTCCAAAATTTTTATTTCTGCATTAGCTATGGACGGACAACAACTTTTAGTGGCATATCCTTGTGCTTTGTTGTATGGAGTCTTTGCCCTGATTTCCATCTTCTGAACTGATTTGTCTGGGATGTGGATATCAGTGGGCCGAACTCACTAAAAGGACCTTGGACTCTTCAAATTGGACCAGCAAACCACTGCAGTGCAGCTAACTCATGCCGATGACCAGTAGCCTGGAAGCAGCAGCAGTAGACAAGTCTTTCGTTCATTGGTACAGGACAGTTGGCGTTGTGTGGAGTCCCCTGCAGATGACTAGCTCTACGTGCTTGTTCCTAGACAGCTAAGAAGTACAATTTCTTTCCTGATCCTGCAGCCTCTGACAACTCTTTCCTCACAATTATATTATGATGTTTTTGATAGATTTTTACCAAATGGGAAACAACCACAAAGCTGATAATCTTTCCCAAAAACAACCCAGTTACAGTAAAGAAGAAACAAGTCTTATTGCAGAAATATTTTTCCAAGGAATTAGGAAAGAAAATGCTTGCAGTAACCTCAAGTTAAGTGCACTGAAGTAAAGCTGAACAAAACAAAATCCCAATGCAGAGCTTTCTGAGTTTACACTTCAAATATCTGACATTCCTATAAATTGTCTCATGAAATCTGTGCTGAAATTCAGAGATACAAGCAGTTCACAATCTACCTTGTGGAGATGAAATGTGAACAGTTATTTAGACATTAGGGTCAACTAATCTGGACTGGCCACATGATGCTTAGTTTTGTCCACATGTCCCAAGAAGAAGAAATCACTAACTTTTTTTTTTTTATTGAGAAAAAAAATATTTAAAATTTCACAATTTCAGTATTGCTGTTATCAATGTACAGTGAATTTGATGCTTATTAAATTTTCCCAATTAACTCTGCTGTTGAGTTTATTTTCACTAAACTACTATTCTCTGTCTTTTTTTCATTAGGGTTTGATTTTGACTCCTGATTTAAACCAAGTTTTAGAAATAGAAGTCATTCTAGTGTAGAACCAGACAAATGGGAAATGAGAAGCAGTTTACTTCGAATGACAGTGTTAGTTCCTGATTTTAAGCTCACTTGGGTTTGTATCATTACACCATCTGGTAAGAGAGTCTGTAGGGAAATGCTGTATATCTTGTGTGTGGACTGGCTTTAAAACACCTCAGGTTCTGGACGGTATTTAGTAATAGTTATGAGCAAGGATGGAAACTGAAGTCTCATGTTTTTCATAAGAGGGGGCCAGCAGCCAAAAGAAAAATATCCTAGAATGCTATTGCTGTGTTTTAGAATATGTTGTCAGGTAGAAAAGGAGCCTCACACACAGGTTCTTCCTTTATTCTTGATGTTCTGGGTTTAGGTACTGACGGTGAGTCGGGCACATTTTCACTTTCAACCAATCACTTTTGAAGCATGCCTCCAGTCTTTTGGTAGTCCCTTCCCCCTTCTCTGGCTTGTTTGCTTGCCTTTGGAGAGTGAATGTTGAGACAGGATCTCTTGTAGCCCAGGCTGACCTTGAACTCCTAACATTGTCATTTTCGATTCATTTTACATAGTTCTTGTTGAGGCAAATTCGCGGATGTCTTCTGTTAATATGCTGCTCTTTAGAGTGAATAAGGAAGATGATGCTTGAGAAATTGTCTCACACTTGGTTATATTTAACCCACTGTTACCCAATTCCCCCAGATAAACCTAGTTTTCTTAGCATTTGTTGCTTCCCTTCATCAAAACCTTTTTTATTTAAATTATTATTCTGTGGTTTTATGCTGGTGTTGGCTATGTTTCATTTAAATGTCCTTTTATGCTACTGGCATACAATTTGTTCCCATGTTCAACAAAAAGTTACCAACATGAGATATTTAACATTCAATTATTTTTCTATAAAAATGGCTACATAATGTAATTGCATCTGATACATGGTTTAATTTAATAATTTGCTTAGCACATTAATCATGTATTGCACTTTCTCACTAAATTCATAAGTAAAAATATAATGTAACCACATTTGTATATATGTTGAAATATAGTATGTCTGATAAGTGTTGTATGGCAGCCTTTTTGGTAAACAGTATAGCTTAAAGTTCACCATTTGAATAATTGAAAGCTGCTAGGAGGGCAACAGATTGATACATTTCACACCTCACTGTTGGTCTTGTATTCAGTGAGTGGAGCAGTACGTCTGCACTAGTAAGTGATTCCTGTGTGCCCGTGTGCATGCCAAGGTCATATTTTACATGTGGTTGGTTAATTATGCCTGTGGTCTACATGTACATTTTACATCTTTGCTATAATTGTGTATTGCCTACTATTTTCAAGAACCGTACTAGGTGTTAGACAAACTATTCATGTGCAGACACAAAGTTTGCTCATCTTTTGAAATCAGAAGTGATGAGTTTCATAATAACATTTTTGTACATTTATATAAGGACTGTTGATAAGGATGAAACCATACCTTTGTGGGTAAATGGATAGAACTGGAATTCATCATGTTAGATGAAATGCACAATACTTAGAGAACTATCTGGTAGTTTAGGTAGAAGAAAATGGAGTGAAGAGGAATAGAGAGCAGTGGGAAAGAGGGAGATTTCACCTGTCAATGTCAAATACAGCAAGCAGGTCTACTCAGGCAATGCCTCACATTCAACCTGTCCTTGCCTGGTGTTCACTGAGATGTCACATCAGATCCCAGCTGCTAGTTATTCCATGGTCTCTATTTTTATAAACCCCAAGGGTTTTTTAGAAATAAAAGCTTAATTTATCAAGCAGTATATCTCATTGCATGCATATTTTAAAACCCAAATTTAAAAACAATTACTATAAAGCAAGAAACAAAAGTGCTTTCTCATAAGTACACTTCATATTTATATGAATTAAGCATGTTTTCTCTTTGAAGTATAATTAAGATTGTGTTTGTGATGGAGTGGGAATAACAAGATATTATTGGCAGTATCATAAGGAAGGGTTGGTTCTTGGTGCTTTTCATGTGTAGATGAGACTGACTTGTCATTAGCTTATCCCCCAACTTGTCCTGTTTATTTTCAAGCCACCTAAATAAAGCCTAGTCTTATGTCTCTAGTCTACTTCCTTTCTACTACCCATGAATTGCCCTTATTCAGCACCAAACCAGGTGCAGAAGCTAGATTAGAACTGCATTTCTAGTACTTGGGTTTTAAGCTATTGCTTTAGTCATTAAACCCTTAGAAGTAGGCAATAGGGAAATTGAGTTTTAGTTATTAAATTATTGATATTTAAGGGTTGGCAGAATCCTTAGTCAAAAGTATAATTAACAAATGTCTCTGAATGGTTACAAAAAAAAAAAAAAAAAAAAAAAAAAAAAACAAAACCCTGACACGTGAGCTCTGGTGGCAAGAGTGTGGCTTTTGCTTTTGCATCATAGGCAGATCTAATTCCCCCTAGCCTTGTGCCTCAAATCCCTCTCCAGTTAATGAGAGCCTCATCTGCTGACGGAGCACAATGTCCTGGGTTTGTGCAAATGCATGAAAATGATTATTTCCTCAAATGAGGACTAATTAAACATAGAGCTGTTCTAATTTAAAAGCACAAACACTTTCTTAAGCACATTAGGTTCTAAAATTCAGGTATTGCATTTTTGTGAGCTTAACTAATTAGGCTTGCTTGTGTAAATAAATTTGTTCTGTTTCTGAAGTTAACACTGAATCTTCAAAAAGCTTGCAGGGTGAAAAATTATGTACCAAAGTCGTTTCAGACTTGTGGCACACAGAAAAAAGAAATGAGAAAACTAAGTATTCACTGAAAATATTTTAGGTGCCTATAATTGTTCCTTTTTATCTAGTTTTATTATTCTGGTTGTCCTAAAAGTAGAGAAAACAAAGTTACTTTTTTTCTGAGTTGAAATACTGTTCTGAAAATGTCTCGCAAATGTAACAATGTGTTTGTAGTTTTCAGTTTTGTGGTTCCTGACATTATTGAAGACCTTGATAGTCTTTTTATTTTACACCATTAGTGGCCCAAAGTTTTTTTTTTTTTAATTTTACTGTTTTAAAATTCAAAATGGGAACACCTTTATTTCATTTTCCAGTTAAACCATGATGTAAAATTTAGCACATCACTACAGAATTTTAAAAGGCATGTTGATAAACTGTTTGGGCATACAGGCATACATAAGCCTTAAAACAATACTAACAAAGTCTAAATGTAAGTATATTTCACTGGTGTGCATTTCTGGAAGGGGCAATCTTTAGAGACAGATCAATGAGTGCCATAGGGTGGGAGGTGCATGACAGCAGCAGAGGAGGATTATGGGAGGTGTTTAGTGGATTCACCTCGTTCCACAACCTCCACTAGAGTTTCGCCGTCACCCCTTTGCTAGTTTTTTGTTTTTGTTTTTTTTTTTTTTGGTTTGGTTTGGTTTGGTTTTTGTCAACACAGGCTAGAGTCCTTCTGGAAAGAAGGAACCTCAATTGAGAAAAAACCTCCATGAGATTGTCTAGAGGCAAGTCTGGGACATTTCCTTTATTGGTGATTGATGTGGGAATATCTGGGAGGGTCCTACCTACACACTGTAGGTGATGTCATCCTGTTATATATGTATATATGTATATATATAACAAAAACAAAAAACAGTCTAAGTGAGCCATGGAGAACAAGTCTGTAAGCAGTGTTCTGTGGGAGTCTGTGGCAATCCAGCTCCAACCTGCTCCCACCTTTTGAAGGGTTCTTGGGTGAAAGAGAGAATAATGAGGAAATATTAGATAGAAAGAGACAATGAGAAAGACAGAGACACAGGATAACTTCGGGGAGGCCCTGGGTCAATACCCAGTCACCCAGAGCTTTATTGAAAAGGGCTTTTTAGAATATGCCAAGGGGAGAGGCAAAAGACCTTTCTCTTTGCAAGATCAAAGCACAAAGTACCAACAAGTATAGACCTTTCCAAACCCCTAGTAACCATGCCCCTGGCCAAATCATCCCATTATGCAGCCCTGCTGGGTAAAGCAAGCTCAGATTCTCTGACCTTGAGTAAGGTCTCATTAGGATGCCTCTGTGGGCTACCACAGTATTCATGGTCTCTGCTTCAGTTCTTGCCTTCAGATTCCTGCCATGAATTCCTGCCCTAGCTTCCCTTCATGAACTGTAAGTTGTAAGATGAAATAAACACTGTCCTCCTCACGTTGCTTTTGGTCATGGTGAATATAATAGCAATAGAAAGCAGAGCAGGCCCAGAAGAAGCCTTGTCCCTCCCAACACCTCACCACCCATTTCCCAACAACCACTAGTCAGTTCTCTTTCTGGATTTGCCTATTCAGGATATTTCATACAGTTAGAAGCATGCATGTGGTCTGTTTGTTTTGACTTTTTGCTTAACATACGATTTCAACATTTCATTAAAAAAAAAAAAAAAAAACCCAAACACTTAAGAGAAATTGTGATATAGCCTGAACACTGAAATTTACTTAACCCTTTTTAATGACTACGTGCCATTTCATTTGTTTGAAAGCTTAACCTGCCCAGTCTCCTGTTGCCAGACAGTTTAGATCTTTGTCCTTTCTTAACAAGACAGAATGAATGGTGGTGTGTTAGTCATGACATCCTTTGTTTCCAGAATGCAGCATCTACTCATAATGATGCTCTCCGATCATTACTGGAAGCTCAGAACTTAAATTCTGGAAATGTCAAGAATTTCATTTTCCAGTGGTTTCCTGTGAGTCTTTTATCTGTTGAAACATGCACACCTCATCTGCGACTGGACAAAGCATTGCTGTGGTTCTCAATGACCTCATCCTTGTTCCTCTGATCTTAGGCAATGGAATCCTGCCAAGCATGCAAGGTCCCCTCCACACCTGCAAATGCTCCCACATCACAAAGGAATGCTTCAAAAGGAACTCCTTGCTTGTTTATTTGCTACAGATGCCCTG